GAGCTGTCCCCCCATCTCCTCTCCCGTCCCAGTAGCACAGCAGCAGGACAAGCACCGCGTTCCACTGGAAATACGGCTCCTGGGACTGTATCGGCATCTGTCTGCGTACGAGGAGGGAGTTGCTGATCTGTTTTTACAAGCCTTTTTTCTCTCTCTCTCCAGGATAGTTATCCGTTCACCGGAGAAAGAAAACTCTCATCCGGATTATATCCCCATCAACAGCCGCTTTAAATGCGTGCAAGGTACTGACCCTCCTGGAGCGGGCTCTCTCGCGCTGGCAGGAATCCACTGCCGTTTATCGGCAAAACGGGAATGGAGCGGCGTTTCTTGGCCTGCCTCCTGAGCGCCCGTTCAGATTGAAGGCTCCCCCGTGAAACTCAAACTCACGTTTTGTGAACTCCTGCTGCTTCCGCATGCGAGCGGGCAGCCTTCCCATGTCAGCACACAGTTGTGGGGAACTTGGCTGGTTCGGATGAGCAGCGGGCCTGACAGCGTTCACAGCCAGCATGTTCAGCGCTTGTCTGCAGCGGCTGATGTTTGGGTGTCTCCTGATGTCTGTCTGTCTGTCTTCTCCGTAATGGCAAGAGCCGGGAGCTTTAGTCCAATTCCTGCATGTTTAGATCAAAACTTTTGTAAGGTCTGGCAAGCTGTCGAGTCCGAAGAGCAGCCCCTGGAACGGGAAAGCGCTTTAGGCCTTGTCTTGGAAGAACTTAAATAGCAGCGTATGTCCCTGGGGCGAATGCTTGGTCAGGAGCAAAAGCACCTTTTCCCACATTAGCTGATAGCCTTCTGTGTAATCCAGTGTGGCTCTGCCCGTTGTCTTTGCTGCATAGACAAGCTCTGAAGTTCACTCTCAGGTTGGCCTTTCCCAAAGGAGCTACACTGGTGAGGAACAAGCCATCCAGGTGTGCAAGAGCTCTGAATATTAGGAGTCTCCCCTGTGGCGCTTTGGCTGTGGGAAGTGGCTGTCCAGGCTGTCCAGCTATGGCCATTCTTTCTGCCGGGGCCATCATTAATAGCACAGATGTAAATTGAGGCTGTTTGTTCCTTTGTTAGGACTCTTCCGTGGCTACTAGCAGGCAGCATGCTTTGAGTACCCAGTTACTGCAGCGTTCAGTGTGGATTTTCTTGATTCCGTTTTTCTCTTTTCCAGAGGCAGAAGAAACTTTGCTGATTGATATAGCTACAAACAGTAAGTTTCATAACTGCAGTCATGCGGCTAAAGCTCCTTTCGGGAATCGGGCTGCCTGTTAGGCGCTGGCGCAGGCTTAGTTTGCTTACGGCTTCATAATCTCCCTCCACGCTTTGTGTTTGTCTTTTGATCGAGCGGGGATTGTATTTCCTCTAACATTGTTGTCCGGCTCTCTTAGACGGCCGCTTGTCATGACAGACATGGTCTTAGATGCCCAGGCTGAAGTATTGGCAGTTGGTCAAACTTCAGCTTCTTAAATCTTTTCCCAAGGCCCTGTGTTGCACTCTGAACCACGCTCATCTCCCTTCCCTTTCCATGACCTGAGCCTGGGTGACCATCCTCCTTTCCCAGTGCTGACAGCGCTGTCTAGTCACCAGTTCTGCTTCCCCTTTCAAGACATTTTTCTTACTGCTTTTAGAGCTCTTCTCTGTGAGATCGCAGTAGGGAGAAGCATTCCTAAAGCCAGGAAAACATGACTGATGGTACCCCAAGTGGGGGGCGCGTCTCAGATGCACAGGGAAACTAGCTTAGGTGCAGATTGCCAGCGGAGGCAATAGCTGGAGGTCGGCTCTTGCTGATGAGCTCAGAGGATACCTAGAAAGCCTGGTCTCTCTCAGGGTGGGATACCTGTGATCCAGCCCCGCCTGACCCTGTGAGTCTGTCTTTGTGCCTGAAGCAGGCTGTAAGGTCCGGATACAAGGTGACGAGACAGCGGAGCGGCTCTTTGAAATCGCCGATGAGGAGCGTTGCTTAGGATTCCTTTCAGAAGTGCAGAGCATACAGGAGGGTAAGCAGAGCTGTAGCTGTGTCTGTGAAAGCCTCTGACTGCCAGCAGTTTCTGACAGCGCTGACTTCTTTTTTTTTTTTTTCCAGCCCACCTGAAAGCTCTTCATGAACCTACGGACTTGGGCAGCTGGGATCAGGTGGAGAAGAACCTCCCAGGCCTTTTGCAGACCCCTTATTTGGGTACTGGACTGACTGTCGCCTTTCTTATGCCCTGTGGTCTGTATGGCAGTGAGGCCCTCGGGGACGGAGAGCTGTGTCTGACCCTGCAGTCTGGCCTGAGCCCCAATTCCTCCCTTCGCGTCGCCCTGCACAAAATAAAAAGTTTCGGTCCTTGGGTTCTGTTGCCCTGGACCATTCATTCCTCTTGAGTGCAGCTTTCTGCCCAGTGCCTTGATTTGAGTATGAAGCTCCCTCCTGCCTTGACTCGTGGCTCGTACCCATTTCTCTCATTCCCTGTGTCATCAGAGTTGATGTATTGCTGTTACCATTCGCTTTTTCACTTTCTGTAGAGTTACATTGTTTTGCTTCCTGATCTGTGCTGTTTTAAATTGTTTCTCAGGACGTTGTGCTTGGTTTTTTCATCATAGGACGGTTGGAGGATGACTTCAGAATTCTAGGTATAGAAGAGAAAACATACATACCAAACCACCAAACCGGGTTTCGCCGGGAACCCCCACCTCCTCCCGTGCTTCAAAATAGGCAGTAAGTAACGTGGTGGATCTGTTCCCTTTTTTCCTTCTCTTCCTAGACAGCAGAGCCAGTTTTAATTCTGCTCCTGCTTCCTTCCTAGGTTTCACCGAGAGAGAGAAGGTACATCAAGAGAGCAGCCAAAAGTGACCAACACTATGCGCAAAATGTTTTTGCCCAGTGCCCAGTCGGGACAAAGGGAACGCCTCATCAAACACGTGATTGCCAAGAGGGAGAAGGCGTACGTCGACCTTCACAACTTCAGGTCAGAGCAGTGGCTGCGGAACGGTGTGCACAGAGACAAAGCTGTTTAGTCTCTTCTGTGAACTCCCATCTAGCCCAGGTCTGAAATCTGGCAGCTGCCGATGTGTGGCCAGCTGGGGTGGCCGACCGAGGATCGGTGCGGGCTGGAATTCCATAAGCGCCTGCGGTGCAGCTTCTCCTTTTGCGTCTTTTCCCCTGTGTGTGTCAGATCCCTTCACCCTCGAGTAAGACTGAAGCAGTTGGGCAGAAAGGGGATAAGGCAGCCGTGCCACCACACTGTTGGTGTTGCCCCACTGGCATGATGCTAAAGGAGCTGGATGTTCGCTGGCCCCGGTGAAATGTCTTTCGTTCTGTAGCGTTCTGCAAAGTCCCCGAGATGAGTGTCACTGAAAATGAGCCAAGGCTTGAAGAGTTTTCAGTTCCCCCATAGCTGGCATGGCCCTGCGCACGGACAGCTCGCGTGTTGTGAGCTCCCAGCCTGAATGCTGCTCTGCGTGCGCTGGAGAGACTGGGCTGATGCGGTGGTGCTTGTGTTTTCTAACAGTTCAACTGCTTCTGTGTTGTAGATTTTTTGTGGGCACGTGGAACGTGAATGGGCAGTCCCCAGACAGCAGCTTGGAGCCCTGGCTGGTGTGCGACGCAGAGCCTCCAGACTTGTATTGCATCGGGTGAGCAGCCATGGCCTCATGGGTCTCTTGTTGCTCTTGCTTGGATACCGGTGGGCTGTGTTTAAGTTCCTGTCCCGTTCTCAGAGGTTCCGCAAAGCTGAGCTGTGTCTGAGGGGAAAGAGCCATTTGGATGAGGCAGAGTGTGGGGTTAAACGAGGCTGGCATGACATAACAAAAGAGACTCTCCTGGAGGCATCCGCAGAGTGCTCTGGTTGTCCTCTGCCTAAAGGGGTACTTGGCAGAGAGGTGGTTGCTGGAGTGTGTTGCAGTAGGGTCTTGGAGGCGCTGTGGTGAAATTCTGCTGCCTCGCGTAGCACATGGGAGTAAAGAGCTTCTCTTCCAAGAAGAGCTGTTGCTAGAGGTGTCACGTTGGACCTTCCTGTAGAAGGAGGGAGATCTGGAGGAGAGGTGGGATGTGCTAAGCTGGCTTGGTTTTTTAGGTTCCAGGAGCTGGACCTCAGCACAGAGGCTTTCTTCTACTTTGATTCTCCGAAGGAGCAAGAATGGCTGGCTGCTGTGGAGAAGTCCCTGCACCCGCAGGCTAAGTATGAGAAAGTGAGTTCTGTTGAGCGTGGTGGGGTCTTGTCAAAGAGTTGGCATGATTGGAAGGAAGAGAGAATCGGGCTTCCCCTTGCCTCAGCTGGCCCAAAGGGCGGTGACTGGAGAAACCGGGGGTGTAAGCTTGGCATGTGCGTACCTGTGCGTGTGCGTCAAGTGTGCCAAGTCAATCTGAAGAATCTGCTTCTGCCCCGCGGTTGTAGGGGATATTGTCCTCGGAAATAGACATTTATAAAGAAGGGGATCAAAATAACTTCATAAAATAGGAGGTAGGTGTGAGGGAAGTAGTATGCGCAATAGAATCGTGGCAGTGGGTTCAAATTCTTTATCTGTGTTACCCTCTCACTCTTGTACCATAGAAGCAAGGTGTGTCTTGAGCTGGCAGATTAAATGAATAGCTTTTCCTTGAAAGGAATGGGATCATGTGTGAGGCGAAATCTTCCAGAAGCTTCTGCCTTGGGACAGAATTGCTTCCATTGTGGCAGCAGGATTTTCTTCTGGCTGGTTTAGAGAAAGCCATTTTTTCTCTCTGCTGTAGTAAACCTTCTTGCTGTAGGTACCAGCCCTAAATACGATAACTAGTTTCCTCTTCCTCCTTACCCATGCATCACTGTCACACCCCTGTCCTGCTGGCTTTGAGTTGAGCTCAGTGGCGTGGGTCACAGGTAGGCACAGCAGGAGCACAGAGCACCCCGCTGACCTGAGAGTCACCGAGAGGGAGCCAGGGATCGTGACCTGGGCTGTGGGGAGGCTCGCGTTCCTGTCCCTTCGCTCTGCTTGCGTTTGAGGTGAATTTCTCCCACCCTTGTGAACGGGAGAGAACAGGATATGGCTGCAGGCAGGGGGAGGTGACTGAAGCCGAAGGGAAGGCCTGCAGTTGCATGCAAATTCCGCTCCTGCGGAGGGGACTGAGTGCTTGAGCTCCTCCAGTTTAATTCTCTGATTTCAGCTTCTTCCCTCACAATGTAGACTTAATCCCAGCACTTCTCAATGTTTTTGTGCCTCTAAAGTGAGCATGTAGACTGTGCTCAAGAAGATTAGGCCTTGCTGCCGGCTTTCAAAGTTGTGACCTCACTGTTTTGAAGGAACAAGGAGGTCGTGGACAGGGATGTGTGTTGGCTTGGCATGTGTCAGAGAATCCGCAGCAGACTGAGATCCTCGCTGGGGTAGGGCATGTCAGCACTCTGTTAACATCTGCAGCAGAGGAGAACCTCTTAGCTCCAGAAGGAGACTCTTTGCATCAGAGAACAGGCGTTTTCTGAAAAGCAAACGGTTTGTGGAGCTCGGAGATGGCTGCCTTTTGGTACCCTGTGTGTCAGGCACGTTTGCCTCTGGAAATAAGAACTTTTCCATCCGTTCCCCTCTAGTGTGTGTGGCTGGCTCCGCTGTAGTTCTGAGTCGGCAAAGGGGGGCACAGAGAACAGGCGTTTTCTGAAAAGCAAACGGTTTGTGGAGCTCGGAGATGGCTGCCTTTTGGTACCCTGTGTGTCAGGCACGTTTGCCTCTGGAAATAAGAACTTTTCCATCCGTTCCCCTCTAGTGTGTGTGGCTGGCTCCGCTGTAGTTCTGAGTCAGCAAAGGTGAGCACCAGCTGGACCTGCAGCCCTCAGCAGCAGCCGTAGGCAGCAGCTCTCTGCGACACACCGAACCAGAGCACTCGGTGCCTTCCTCAGGTGGTTTTGCTGGTGAGAGCACAACGTAGTGTAAAAGGCTGAGGCTTCACGAACAGATCCGCTACGTGTTTATTAAGTTTCTGTTGCCTCACAAGACAGCCCTGTTTGTGGGGAATGCAGTGAGTTCGGCAGAGCCGATAGCTATTGGGGGATGACAGATCGTTCCCCAGAACCTTGGTTTGGGGCAGGAGGTCCTTTGGGTGGTGTTGCAAGCAGGGATTGAGTACAAAACACAGTGGGGAACAGGGAGAGCCAGAGAAGCGGAACATTAGGCAGAGCAGGCACATCAGAACTGCATTTTCCCTGCCTTTCTGGGAACTCAGGACCCCTTTTATTTCTGCAGGTGGAAAAGGTCCGTCTAGTTGGGATGCTGCTGCTCATATTTGTTAGGAAGGATCAGCTGAGCTATGTCAGAGAGATGGTGACAGAGACCGTGGGCACGGGAGTCGTGGGAAAGATGGTGAGTCACTGAGGCCGATCCGCTGCGGCTGCGTAGCCGTGCGAGAAACGGCACAGCCTGGTTGTGTCACCGGGCCCTGCCACCCCTGTCTGCTCCACGGTGCCTCGCGTGCCGCCTTCTCTAACGACCGTTGTACCCGCTCTCCCCAGGGCAACAAGGGCGGTGTGGCGGCGAGGTTCGTGTTCCACAACACGACCTTCTGCATTGTCAATTCCCACCTCGCCGCTCACGTGGAGGACTTCCAGCGGCGAAATCAGGATTATAGGGATATCTGTGCTCGGATGAGTTTCCTAATCCCCGATGATAGTCTGTCTCAGCTCAGCATCATGAAACACGAGTAAGTTTATTTTGCTGCTTTTCCCTTTTGAAGTGGTGTTGAATAATGCACACTGAGTCAGAGTCACAGCAGCAGGGGATCCTGTGCAGATCAGTTTTCTGGCTTAAAGATACAAGTGAAAATGCGGAGGCCTCTGGCGCGCTAGAGCTGCAGTCGGACCGCATGGCCACCTCCTCGCTGCGGCCAGTGACTTGTGCAGCCTGCCTCTGGTGGCCTTTTCCTTGCCCGTTGTGTATCATCCTTCCCTTTCAGCAGGCGCTGTTCCCGAGTCGATGGCTGAACGTTACAGGGCTTGAAGAAACTGGGGGGGGTTTTGTGATGGGAAATGGGAGTACGAATAGGGGAAGGGATGGCAGGATGGGCAGAGGCTGTGCTGTTCAGGCTTTTTGGAGTAATAAGTGCTTACGATTGCTGTTTCAGTTTCTTTTTAAATGACTTGGATGATACTCGGGCAATACTTGATTTTTTTTTTTTTTTTTTAATTATTATTATTTTTAGTGGGGTGGCAGTGGTGCTGAATAGTCCAAATCAAACGCAAACATGTACACAAGAAGGATACAAATTAAGTCGTCTTAAACCTGATGCAAATGGTTAATACTTCTGTAGTTAATACTTAAACCACTTAAAAACTGAAAATAAAATGTAGAGTAGATTAGTATAGGAAAAAACTTCAAATATGAGGTTATCCTTGATAATCTACCGTTGGAAATCTTGAGGTTTGACTATAAACAGGAACAGTTTTGATACTGGAGAGGGGTTTGGATTTTAATCTTTAAATGAAACCCTTACGGAGTAAAGAGTGAATAGCACACGTGTTTCGTCAGCCGCTGGTGGTGAGGAGGCTGTAGGTCTGTCTGAAAGCCCAGAGGGGAGCAGAGCAAGAGCAGGTGCTGGTGGGTGGGACAGGACAGGAACATTCTGGAGGTCAGAAACTCAACGGGGACCTAACTCTGCTCTTGCCAGTTCTGCGTCGGTCAGTCCTTGCTGGGTAGATGGCACGGGAGCGGCCCGCTCTGGTTGAAAGAAGGGCAGTGGAAGATGAACTGGTAAAGCCATGGTATCGCAGGAGGTGTGAGCACGCGGGTACCTGCGCACCAGCCTGCCTAGCTGGTTGACGAGCAGGCTCTGCTTAACGAGCTCTGTCACTGCCCTCTTCCGCACGCCAGAAGAGCCTGAATACTAGATGGATTTTGTCTCGCTTAAGAGGTTATTAGGCTTGGTGTGGTACGCTGGTTTTGCTTTGTTAGAGAGCTGGTGGTGTTCCCAGGCTTTCTCAGACTGAGGCACACTCAGGTGTATCCCGTTAAACTAAGCCTTCAGCCCCACGTGGGATTCTGATGGAGATGGACTTAGTTCGGTAGTATCTGCTGCCACTAGAGAGGTCTGCTGTCGGACTCGATCTCTCATGTCTCCTTTTGTCTTCCGTGTGTCTCAACCTTAATCACCAGCGCAACCATCTCTTCTCCTATGCCCCTTCTTCCCTGCAATACTAACTGCTGGCTCTTCTTGTCCATGTTTGTCTCTGTTTTCAGTGTTGTCATCTGGCTGGGAGACTTGAACTACAGGCTTTGTCTCCCTGATGCCTATGAGGTGAAAAGTCTTATCAGTAGGAATGAGCTTCAGAAATTGCTGATATACGACCAGGTCAGTGAACTCCGCTTACATTCGCTCCGTACTCGTGAGGTCCTCTCGGTTTGAGATGTGCCTGTGCTTGGGAGGAGCTGGCAGACGCTGCAACAAGTGCCGACACAGATGCTAGACCCTAGAGAGGCTCTGGGTGTCCTGGTGATGTCAGCCCCCTAAACAAAAATAGGTTGGACGTTATACCGGGGTTAACAAGACTCGGGCAATTACCATAGAAATGTCTTTGCATCTCATTGGGAGAGTCCTCTCTGACGTACAAAGTACACGCTGGAACATAGGAATCTGTAGCAGCAACAAAAGCTGCTGTAATCGGTGTTCTGGAAGAGGTATGGATTTGGAGACCAGTGCTTGGAGCCAAGGCTCTCTGCTCATCCAGTCTGACCCAAATTCCGTGTTGTGGTCTTCTCCGCTCAGCGTTTCTTTGCGGCACACTGAAAACCGAGAAGGCACCGGGTGTGCCTTTAAGGTGAAGGACTGTGCCTGTGAAACGTGAGCAGAAATAGCGTGGCATCGTCTCCGGCACGCAGCGTAGCAGTAGGTCTGGTTGATCCTGTTCTGCTCTCGTTTCTGCTGTGCTGCAGAGCTTCGTGCAGAAAATAACTGAGGCTCAGGTTTTTGTGAGGCAAACGGCGAGGACATTTTTCGGAAGAGTAAATGAGAATGGGGAAGTAGCGTCAGGCTGGCAGCCAAGCGCGCTCCGGGAGGCTCTTGCTAAAATGATTGGCAGTGAAATATTAATGATGGTGATGCTTAAGCCCGAAAACTAATGAAGGCATTAGCACGAGTGGAGCAATTAATATTTCCCTTAACTATCGTTCTGTGCTGTCTGCGTGGTCTGGTAAGCAGCGCTGTGCTGATCTGTATTCGGTCTGTTCAGAAAACATCCCATGGAGGTGTTGAACGTTTGCCTTTGTTAAAGGTAGGTCTGGGAGGCAGCCTGGGGGACGTCTGGTGGATCCCATGGCCACGGGTCGCAGTTGCTCTCCCTGTGGATCTGCTCTCTGCCACTCTGCTGTGTGTGTGGGGGGGGAAGTGTTCGGGATGATCTGTTGCTTTGGGTTTTGTTTTTAAAAGTGTTCTTTTTCTGCTTTAGCTGAATATTCAGCGCGCTCAGAAGAAAGCATTTTCAGATTTCACCGAGGGAGAGATTAAGTTCATCCCCACATATAAATATGACTCTAAAACAGATCGCTGGGACTCCAGGTAAATCGGCTGCCAATGGACACATTTACTTGTGACATAAAAGCATTTTCTCACAGAACTTGGTTTCCTGCTTCCTAGAGCTGGAAATACCTCTCGGTGTTACAGTGATGGCTGGAGCGCACAGACAAGTCTGTGCTCCTTCATTTCCCCTGCTTTCTGAAACAAGCAGACCCTGCGTGCGCTGGCCAGGCACATGGCCTGAACCTTGGTCACTGCTGGTCCCCATAGCTGAGGGCGGGTGAAGTGTGAGCTCACAAGTGGCCCTACACTGGGCGTTTTTTTTCTGCTACCAGGGACAGGCAAATGGTATAAAAGGAATTGAAGAGATGAGGAAACAGTTTCTCTGAGTCACCCTGTCCCCTGACCCGCACACGCGCAGGGGTTCCTGCTTGCTGCTCCCTGCTTGGTGCCTCCCAGACATTTATGCGTCTGCTGCAGAAGCTTGCTCTAAATGGAGAAACTCCCCAGAAGGAGTTTCAAACCGTATTGCACTTTGGGTTTTACCCTGCCTGTGTTTATGAATTGGCACAGCAGTTAATCTGGAGAAGGATAACCCCGGATTCAGACTTCATAACATAACAGTAATAGCTGAGTAGACTTTCTGTAGTGGAAACAATAAGCGATGGATCGGACGGTAGTGGGCAGAAAGATCTGGCAGCAAAAGAAACCAGGGCAGCTGAGGTCACAGTACACATGGCTTCAGGCTGTGGAAAATGGCCTTGTTTGAGGTTATTTTCTTTCCTGATGCTGGAAAGAATGGGAATTCTAGCTACTGTCTAGGGAAAGGGGAAGAGAGCAGAAGGAATAACAGTATTCAAGTTGAGGGGAGTGACAGGAGTTTGTCCCGCTGCCGCTGATGCAGTCATTGACGGTGGGGGTGGAGGGAGCTGCCTGGCTGGGACGAAGAAGAGCTTGGGTTGTTGGATTTCCCTGGTAAACCGTTTGTCTTTGTAGTGGAAAGTGTCGCGTGCCTGCGTGGTGCGATCGAATCCTTTGGAGAGGAGAGAACATAAATCAGCTCCGGTATTGCAGTCATATGGACCTGAAGACAAGTGACCACAAGCCAGTCAGCGCCCTTTTCCTCATCGGGGTAACTTTTTTTGTATATGCTAGGGTAGGACTGCGATGCCGTCACGCGTTCCTTCGGGAGTGTCACATAGCTAGGGCACCTCTGCTAATGCTGTTGCAAGAGGACAGAGTAAATAAAAATAAGGTGTGTCTGCTGCATAGCTGTGCTGCTGTTTGGCAGCCGGGCCAGCCGCTGCTCAGCAAAGGACTCGGCGGCCGCGGTCTTCGTGTGCCGTGCAGCTTGGCTGCGTAGCGCCGGGACGGCGTTATGCCGCAGCAACGCAGGTGATCGTCGGCGATTACCTGAGCAGGGGTGGCCATGTGGTAAATGGAAAGGCATTCCCATTGACGGCTTTGGTGGTGCTGCTTAGCGTCTGGGGCATCGCCCGTGATACCTAGGACTGGAACGGGCGAGCTGCTGTTTTCTCTCCTCCGCGGGGAGGCACAGCAGAAACCCAGCTGTAAGTGTGCCTGCTGTTGCAGCGTTGCCTCTGGAGTGTTCGGAGAGTGTGCCGCTGGTTCACACCTGAATTTCTTTGGTGGTGAATGGCTGGCAGCAGGTTGGGGTTTCCTGAGTGGAGAGAGACCACGGCCATTTCAGCTACCTCCTGCTCCCTGGGTAGCTCAAGTCCCCTTAAAAGAGAACCTTTCTCCTCTTCCTCTGGAGAATTGTGAGCGATGCTGCGGGATGCCAATGCTGCCCCACAGAGATCACCTCCATTAACCTCCCGGTAGCGTGGTCAGTGGCCAGAAAGACCCTGGTAACATCTGTAGGCGTAAAATGTGCATAAAGTTGCACACACAGCTTGGGCGTGCACCCATGCGTGCAAATTCTCGCAGCCTTTCAGCTGCACATAGCAAGTGCTTAGAGAAACATTTCACTTCTGCAGCTTATGATCAAAAGACTTCCTGCGAAGCCGGCCAACAACTTTGCTGAGTGTTTTCTGATCTTCCACAGGTAAAGGTTGTCGATGAGCAGAGGTATCGGAAGTTGTTTGAAGACATCGTTCGTTTAATGGACAGAATGGAGAATGAGTTTCTTCCTTCGCTGGAGCTAAGCAGGAGAGAAGTGAGGATGAAACTTGAATCCCTGTCCACTTCCCAAACACAGCAGCCTTAGAAGTGTTAGAGCTACTTTTAAGGACCTTGATTCCATAAACTGGATCCTAGGAAACTGAACTTTACCCATTATCTTATGACCAGGAATTGGATTAGAAGGGACATCTTGTCTTGGCTTCTTGGCAGGTCTTCCATTGGGAGTTCTGGATTGCGTGGGCACCTCTCAGTCGCGGGTTGCCACTGCAGGGTCTGGGTGCTCCCTGTGTCCCCCATCGTGGGGGGACTAACGTGAGTTGTGTTTTCTTTTTGCTTTGCAGTTTGAGTTTGAGAATGTGAAGTTCCGTCAGCTGCAGAAGCAGAAGTTCCAGATCACCAATAACGGGCAGGTCACCTGTCACTTCTCCTTCATCCCAAAGCTCAACGACAGCCACTACTGTAAGCCGTGGCTTCGGGCCGAGCCTTGTGAAGGTTACCTGGAGCCAGGTGAGTTCTAGCACGGTTTCTGCAGTGTGTGCTGGTGTAGGCTGCCACCCTGGCTCCACGCAGTCCTTCCCATCTTTCCCGTGTCTCGCCTTTCTTGCTGTCATCCTTGTCTGTTTGTCTTCTTGGTTTCCTGGCCTTTGTCCCTGCCACTGTGTGTTTGTCCTTGTCATCCCTTTTGGAGAGTGTCTGTGTGTTCTTGAGAGCTCTCTTTGTTGCAGATGAGAGCATGGAAATCTCCCTGGACGTGTACGTCAGTAAGGACTCGGTAACCCTTCTGAACTCTGGCGAGGATAAGATTGAGGATATTCTTGTCCTTCACTTGGACCGAGGGAAGGACTACTTCCTTACCATCAGTGGGACCTACCTGCCCAGCTGCTTTGGCACCTCCCTGGAGGCCTTATGCCGAATGAGACGACCGATACGAGAAGTTCCCGTCACCAAACTCATTGACCTGGTGAGTAGCAGTGTTCTGGAGCAGCTCTCTTAACAGGGAGAGACCACATTCCCTTCTGTTTCCTCCCCAAAGCAGGAGTAGTGCCTTCAGCTTGGGTCAGCTGTGCGGGCTCTGAGCTGATTCACTTCTTCCAGAGCTTGAGGGGCTCTTTTATCATTTCTCTCCCCCACAACCAGTGGCTTTTGACAGCCTGTACTTCATCTCTTATTGATGAGTAGATTCTAAATATTGTTTGGTGGGGCAAAAAAGCGATTCCAGCACCTTGTGTTCTGTGTTACTGTCCTGTTGGTGCTGGCAGGCTCAGCTGGGTGGCACTCGTGTGTCGTAGGCGGTACGATTGAAGTGCTCTCCTCCAAGGTGCTTCTGCAGTGACGCAGGGCTCCGGGATCCTTTTCCTTCTGGATGCTGGTGGCATTCGGGACGCTGCTCGGGGGAAGGAGCAAGCGGAAGCAGGCGGACCGAAGGAAGGACTTGATGCTGTTAGATGTGCTGCTGAGTCCCTGAGCTCAGCCAACGGCCAGCCTCTCGGGCCAGCTTCTCCCACGCCGACCACAGTGAGCAGGCTCTTCTGCGGCGCAGACAGCCGTTCCTCTCCCCCAGCTTCACCTGCCCCTAGCGTCAATATTCATCCTTCTGCAGCCACTTGTGCGTGCGCGAGGCAGTGTGATTGTGCCCCGTCACCTTTTGTCTCTTCAGTATCTCGTGGCTGTTTCTGAGATTAAGCCCCGTTTTGGGGATCTGAATCCTCGTCTTCAGCCTGCGCTCAGCCCTCTCTTCTGGTGGCCTTCCCTGGCCTCGCTCCCTGCGGCCGAGCAGCTCCTGCGTTGCAGTCTGTTTACCCGTTCTCGTTTCGCCAGGAAAGGAACTTCTTTTTTGTTCACCTGAAAGATGAGCCCCAGCTCTTTCAGTGTCCCTGACATGTGATACCTTTCCTCTCGTCCCATGTCTTGCAGTCTCATCCTTACCTGCACCCTTCATGTCCAGTGAGCTGCTGCTTTTCACAGCTGTAGGTGCGACAGCTTCCACTCCCATCCTCTTGCGCTTCTTTCTCTTCCCGTTAGCGGTTGCACTGTGCCTCCTGCTGCCTCTTCCTGGCCCCACCTTCTGCTGTGGGTGTCTGCTTTTCTCACAGGCCCAACACACCAAAAGGCCGTTTTCATGACAGAATTTTAATTTTGTAATCGCTGGATCGGGCTGAGCAGAATCCAGGTGGCAAGGTACAGCGTTTGCGTCCTCAATTCAAGCAGCCTCAATTCAGGCCTCGGGCTCCTTGTGCTTTTCAGGACTCGACTGAAACTCTGTTCTGGAAGCGCATTGAACTTGGTCTAGAGCGTTCCGTCAGTCTCGGTGGCTTTTCCTCTGGCTTTTTCCTGGTTGGTGCTTGGCACTGACTTCTTGCTTGACGTATAGGGACTCGGGCCTCGACCCTCAGCTTCTGCCCTCTCAGACACACGCTATTACTTTTCCAAGCGTGCTTTGAGGCTTCTTCTGCTTCCTTTACCTATAGATTTCCTTCTCTGTAATTCAGTGAAAGATACAGAAGTACAGGAAGCAAAACAGTCGGAGAAGAGCACCCTGTCCCAGTATCGGCAGCGAGGAAGCGGTCTCTTGGGTCAGTGAGGTCAGTGTGACTGCCGTACTTCAGTCGGAACGTGTTGAGCTCAAGCAACACAACGGCCAATGGCCCAAAGCAAAATTCAGTCACTTGGCTTATGAAGCTGCTGTCACGTGAGAGCTATTTTAGGTCTGTGGGTTTTGGTCGTACCTCCGAGTTGAGAAATTCTTGGAGACGGGACGGGCTGAGCGGTGCACGTGCCAACCGCCCCGCAGCCCAGGAGCGCCCTGGTCCCGCTGCGTGCCTTCAGCTGATGTTTAGACAGCGTGGGAGGAAGGCAGCGTGTTGGCGGAGTAAGAACCATTTTCCCTCCTGCACTTAAGTAGCATTAGGGCCTGTCACTCGCTGCAGCAAGCATTCTCAGCCTGGCTAGACAGTCTTCAGCAGAGGGAGATGTGGGGAACGCGGGCCCATAGGGGTCTGAGAGGCAGTCTGATGCAGGATAGCCAAGTGTAGGTGGGAGCGTGTTTGGAAATGGCTCTCCTAGTTCTCCTGGGAGAAGCTGCTGACGCTCGAGTGTCTCGCCTTTGGGATTTCAGTATTAGTGTCTCATCCTGTTTTTTCTTGGGATCCTACTGTGGGCTTTAAAAAGCCTCTTGAAGAATCTTTCTCAGGAGCAGGCTGGCCTCGTGGAGCTAATGGTGCTGAACGCTCGGGAAGGGAGGTGAGCAGCAGGGCGGGCAGTCAGGTAGGTGGTAGCGAGACTGTTGAGATGACTCAGCCGGTTACGAAACGAGCCTCTCCCGGCTATCTGCCATCCCAAACCTGTGACTGCTGTCCCTCCCCCTGTGCCGTGGAAGAAGAACCCGGGCCAGCTCCTGTTCGGAGCAAGCTGTTCTCCGCAAGAGGCCGGTCTGTTGTGGCTGTGTTAAACCTCCGGGAGCCTCCAAAGGAAGCAGGCGCTGCAGGAGTCGCAGGGGAGCCCGAGAGGCTGCTCCCCCCCAGCCGTGCCCTGTGCCGTGGCGGCCGCAGCTGCGTTTCCACCTCAGCCCTTCAATGCCTTCCGCTTGCTCCCACCCCAAAAGGTCGATCTGCCAAAACTCAGCTTGGGCAACCTGCTTCTGTTTCCTCCTGCGGACGCCGCTGAAAAGTGCCTTACGCTGCCAGCCTGCGCTGCGCTGGCAAACGGACGCTGTGTTTCAGGATCGCCGGAGGGATCGGCCGTGCAGCCTGGGGGGGGGCTCTGGCATGCCCCTCCTTGCAGCGTGGTAATGCTATTAGGGTGAGACAGACGAGCAGCCCGGGGTTTTGAGCACAAACACTCGTTTCCCTGACTATACACAAAGCTGCTTAGGGGGCCTGTTAGCTCCACAGCTGCCACACGCTCAGAAATACAGATTTAGCCTGGTGAGTGTTTTCTCTCTGGCCTGCTCGCAAGGGAAGATGGCTGAAATAATACAGGGTTATTTATTTCCGACCAGGGAGGTTCAAGAAGGGGAACTTCTTCCTGGCAGCCACCTCTCGCCTGCTGGTGGCCTGGGTAGTGAGCAGTGGTGCTGCAAGGCCCCTTCGGGGAGTTTGTAGAAATCCTGACAAGGTTGTGCATCATGTGAGCAGGATATTTGCTAATTGGCAGGCAAATCTCTTGCCGCAGGTTTAACTTTGGCCCTGTCAGCAAAACGTGTGAAGGACCTGGCATTCGGTGGGTCCTTGTAATGCAAATTAGGTTTCTGCTTGATCTGGGAGTGCGTTCTCTCTCTTAATGATACTTTTTCCTCTTCTCTCTTTCCCACTGCTCTCAGGGAGAAGACAGCTTCTCAGAAAAGGTAACGCAAGCGGTTGCTGGGGAAGTCTGCTTCTCGATGCCTTGTTTGTAAAGAATGAGTGTTTCCCCTTGTTTTCTGCTGAAGAGGGAAGGGGCGGTGGGTGCGGAGGGAGCGCTTGTTCCAGCAAAGCCTCTTAGCGCAGCTGTGGGATAGAGGAGAACGTGTGGGAGCACAAAGTGACCCCGTAGCCAGGATGGGGCCAGCCCGGCTGAGCTGCTTACAGCTCACCAAATTTGCTGTGGGAACAAAAAAAAAAAAATGCTCTCCTGATCCTAGCAGCAGTGATGGATATTTCCAAGAAAGACGGGCAGCCTTTGACGTATCTGAGCGGGCTCTAACCATGCACATAAGGTGGGGCTCACCACAGCACCCTCTTCAGACATGTGGGGAGAGGGCTGACTTGGAAAGCTGCAGTTTTTTTGCTCTCTCTGCCGTGGCGTGTCCTTACGGAGGCCGAGGGAGGGCCTCGCAGAGCAGGCAGACGTTCCTCGGGGCCAGGGCTGCTGGCTCCCATGGCCGCCGGTGGCCGCGCAGGGTC